GAACTATTAATAATATCAGCCGGAAAGGGGATCTGGAGGAAAAATTAGGTGGTCAGCAGTTTAGTGGGAATAGAATTAAAGAAGTAAGAAGTTGGTTCATGGATATGATGAGCTTGGAGAGGGCCTGAGGAGAGATCAAAATTAGAAAGAGATGTGAGTTCAGGATTAGAAGCATCTTAAACCAGATAGGATCTGAACCACCTTTCACTCGTTAATGGTGATGTTTAATCTAAGTCAGTGGTATTAGGCAAAGTGCACATTGACAACACTCGTAATCAAGAACTAAATCCGTCCACCCACATCACAGAGATACATTACGGATCAGTCTTAAATTCAGAAGATTAATTCTGAACTACTTACAACATCCCTCATGGTTTTGCTGGCACACCTGATCATTTCTAACTGTTGCTTTGAAAGAAACTCTTTTCACTGAGTTAAGTAATGACCATATCCTGATGTTCCTCTGAAGGTCTTTTCTTGAAATTAACAAACATTTCTAAAAGTAGTTTCTAATCTGCACTCATGATTTTCTGTTTTCATGCCAGGTACTTCAGTGCAAATTAATCCTCCCAATCCCAAAAGGGTGTTCCACCTTTAAAGCTAACACTTCGGCCCAGATCTCCATCCTCAAGATGGAAAGAGCAAGTTGGGCTATTTCCCAACATTGCAATTCCTCCATCTGCCCAGGCTATTTTTACAGCAATTAGGTGAGATAGGCCAGAGTGAGGTTTCTGCCTTCAGAATCAGACTGAAGACAGGAGCAAAAGCAAGTGGCTGCTGAGATGGGCAAGTTAGCCCACTGCTGTTCATTGGAACATTGGCCTTATTAATGAGTATTAGGCATCTTGTTGCTCATCCCTGACTTTCATACACCTCCATACCCCCTTCATTAACTTCCTGTCACATCATGTCTCCCACCATCCCTCCCTTCATATCCCCCTTTGCTGTATTGCTTCATCCATATCCCGTTTGAATTAACTGCCATAGAAAACTGTGGAGGCCAAGTCACTGAATATACTTAAGAAAGAAATAAATCAACTTCGAGAGGCAATAACTGTCAAGGGATATGGGGAAAGAGTGGGAGTATGGCATTGAGGTAAAAGATCATGTACGATCATTTGATTGGTGGAGCAGGCTTATTGGACTGAATAGCCTTCTCTTGCTCCCATTTTCTATGCTTCTATGTTTCCATAAATTTATGACTTTTCCATACCTCCTACTCAGTCATCTAGCATTCACTATAGACAGAACTCATGAATTGTATAATAACACTGGAAGTTTCTGAAGTGCTCATGAAACAGTCAGAATGAACAAAAATAACATTCAAAAATCTCTTCAAAATAACTTTAATATTATTAACTACTGTTATAACTGTAAATCAAAAAATACTCAGTCTTCTGGACAACATTATCGCCAGACCATGTTGAGTTGAATCTGATGGCAGGATCTGGAGCTCGGTCAGGCATTTATAATGCAATTCTAAAGGGCAACTCTGTCAACAAAACCGCTAGGACTTAACACATGAAATGTTTGGAGAATCTGGAGTAAAAGGCTATCAGTTCTAATGGTTCTAGAGGCTGAACAGATGACAGGACTGCTAATTTTAAAAAAAGAGGGAGAAATTGAGTAATCAAAATCTTGATCTCAAAACTCTGAAATGTAGAAGGGCTGCTTCTAAACAAAGCCCTTTCATTTATCACTATATTAAAAGCGTAATTAACTTACCATGCACTATTACATTGTGCCATGTGAAGTTGTTAACACCTTTGAACTTACTTATTCCAGACTACGCTTCTGCCATGGTTTAGAATTCCCTTGAGGTATTGTGAATCACTTCTTCTAATAAATGGACCCTATTCCATGAAAGAAAGGGGGGAACCAAAATTCATATCCTCACAATGGAATAGTGAAGGTTGAGATTGATTGATATGCGCTTGCTACTCACACCCTTATCAGAGAGCCATTAAACACCACAAAGCAGGCCTGGGGGTCATGAATCCAAGAACCAGGTGCTGCCTGCCATTTTAAATGCCTCCTGTCTCCATCTTCATTGCTAAAGATGTTTACCTTACTATCTCCAGAGCAACCATCATCTGCTTCATTGGCATAGAAAGGATTACTCTTTTCAACTTCCTGTATAGTATTTCCATCCCGCAATCAATACAAAATGAATGCTTCCAATTATTATGCTCTCTTCTCATATCCATTTTCCTTACTATATGAAATTAAAATGTCAATTATTATTCTTCATAACGTGGTATTTCGCTGTTACTTAGTTGTTCTGTGGTGATGTCCTGGTCATATTGCTGCCCATCCTACAGCTCTTTCTACATGAACTCCTAACTGCAAGGGAGGGTGAACTAACCCATATTTCCAGTGCATGAAGCTGAGATTGAACTATATTTCAATGTCCTCAAATATTGATTCCAGAAGGGGTTACGGTGTGCTATGAAATTTCGGAGCAATAGGAATAACTTGACTCAGTTTGCCCTCTGGCTGGCATAAAGGTAATGTAGAAATGTTGTTATTGGGCATGGGTGAGGGAGAGAGAGAGAAGGAGAAAGAAAGAGAGTCGATTGCAACTTTACTTGGTATCTCTGGAATGCTTTGTTTTCTAATTTGATGGTGAACAGATATTTTTAATGCTAACATAGAAATCTATCCAGTCTCATGCCTATTTGGCCTAACTCATCACTATACCCAGTGATGCAACTGTCATTGTGGTTGCTCTATCAAAGGATCCTGCATGTTCAGTCCCCATTTGTTGATTGCTGGCTTTCTCTTTACTAGCTGCTATTTCTTGGAAGCTTCTGGAGAGCTTCATGAATGACCTCAATAATCTATCATGTTGAAATAGCATATTTTTGTTAACAGAAGTCAACAGTACAGATATAGGCAATGTCAATGGCTACTGAAAGATTTGCTGGTCGTCTTTCGCTTGCTCCTGATTTGGTTCACCTATGCTCTGTGACTCAAGATTTGTGCTGCGCTTCTGCAAGCTACCTAATGCTCCTGAAATGATTGTATTTGAAGTGATGAATGGCTAAGGTGGACACAGTGACAGAATGCTAAAAACTCTGCTATTTCCCTACGTAACCCAGTTCCAGGAGGGAATGGCTCTGGCTTTGTGAGAAGATCCTTCAAAAATTGAAAAGGACACACTGACAAGAAAAAGCCCCAGAGGTTGATACTAGTGTGGCATTTCTCTTTTGCTTCAGGAGAAATAATGTGAAACCCTTTTGATATGATGTGCAGCAGGGAGTAATGGAATAATAAACTTTTTGCACTTATCCCTTTCCCACAAATTTCATTACTTTTGGACAGAGATATCCGGAATCTCAAAGGGTCATAATCCATGATGGAGGGGTATTTTCCTTCCATTGCTAAGCGCTGTGTTGTGGTGATCTACTTCCATTTGTAAAAGAGAAAAACGGTGAGGTTGAGACATGGAGAGAAGTGACATTAACAGAAAAATATAATTTAGGTAGAAGAGACATTGAAGCATTGACAGTTTTTGAGGTGGGTGTGTTTATGCTAGAAAACAAACAGCCACAAATAGCTAGCATGGGAAATGCAATTGCTACAGTGACTCATTGGTGGGCTCCCCTTCTGAGATTAGGTTTCAGCAAATTGCAAATACAGTATTATCCTGCATTGATTCTAAAGTATGTTATCTTTGACCTGGACTCACTCAAAGCTGGAACTGGAAATAAAAAGGGTAAAAACTTACTTTTCCAAGGACCTTTCAAAAGCAATTAGTTAAGCAAAGCTTTAAACTATATAAACACAACATAACAGTAAACTACATAAACTGTAGTGAAATGTGGGACAAATCTGTTGTAGAGGATGTAATAATATGGAATGAAGTGATTAAGGTAACAATTTACATCACGAAAGATTAAACATAATGCAAGTTGTTTGAGAATGAACTGCAGAAACCAGACCACTAACCTCTCAAATCAATATCTTGGTAGAGACGTTGGGTTGAATTTTAACCAAAAAGATACATTTTAGTCAGGTTGTGGTCCATGATAGCAGTCTCAAGAATCTGTTTCCAGATTCAAAGCTGCCTCCAACTCATCCATTTCTCACTTTAACTGAGGTTGGCAGGTAGATGGGTGATTAATCCAATTCAAGAAGGCAGATTGGGACTTTTAACTATGATAAGAAGGTTGAGAGCCTTGCAGGTTTTTAACATTACTTGTGGTTTCCGCTGTATTTCCTATGGCACACTTATTGAGATAAGCACTTGTAGGATTCGTATGGCAAGAGCTTTCACACTGACTTCATGAATCTGGGTGTCTATCTCAAGATCCTCTATGGTTGGGTCTAGCCCCTTCTTGATGATATTATCCTCAAGGCCTCTGATCGCATTGCAGGCATTTTGACCTTTTCCAACTAAATCAGTCCTCTGAGCATCCCTATCCCAAAATTCCTCACTAGACACCCCAGCCATCCATGTAAGGATTGGCTGCGCATAAGATTGATTTGCTGTTCATCCTCCCATCTAATCAGTCTCCCTTCCTTCCTCCTCCAATCATCTCTCCTTTGTCCACTGAATGGTTTTCCTCTTTGCAGTCCCTTCTAATAAATCCCACCACTCCAGTAAACCAAGCCTGATGCCTCACAGTACATATCCCTGGCCCTCTCTGATTGTGTCCCTACCTGCTGCTGTGGTGGTCACTGACTGGGGAATACCTGACTGGAAACCTAAACTGTCTTTGAAGTTGACTGTCTGATGGGAACTGGTCAGTGGTTGCAAGTGATGGCAAGAACAGCAAAGCTCTACATTATGTGAAGATCCTCTGGAACAGGCCAGTAAAAATTCTGCCTGATTTAGCGTTACAGCAGATTAATTGATGAATGCTATTTTCAAAGATTGGGACTGGATAAATGGAGTCTCCTATTACAGTCCTCTGTTCCTATTATTCTTCTTCCTGCTCCATTAATGATCTATTCCAGTTCCAAATGGATATAAAGCCATGAAACAATTTCCTTACTTCTGACAGTCTCCACATTCAACAAATCCATTTGCTTCTTTGATCGTGTCATCATACACAAAAGCTGGGTACTCTGTGTTGCAGGGCTGAAAGGCCTCCACTTTCCGGTGCTTATGACCTGCAACAATTAAATTAGCATAAACATGGGTGTTCAGGGTGAAATTTATACCAAATCGGTCTTTTTGATAAAGGGATTAACAATTTGGGCCTGCAGATTTCCGAGATTGCTTGGTGTTGGTGGTGGGAGCAACAGATGGGGGAGGATGCAAACAGTTGCAGATCGGGTGGTGGCAGTCTTGCTATGTGGGAAGATGGAATGCGGAATGAGTTAGAAATGGTTGGGATGGAGTCAAAGATGAAAAGAATGGGAGAAGTTGGAGATCATGGAGTCTGTAAAGGGGTAAAGCTTACTGAACTTGGATGAAACATTCCTTCTGCGCATGTCCCACAAGCATTTCTGTCAATGCACTTGCCTCATGAACCTACTCTTTCCTGTCTCCTTTTACCTGCCAGATTTTCCAAGCCCAGCCCCCATGGGTTTTAAACTAAATTCCTGTTAAGTTGGCCAACCTGGCACCAAAGGATGGATTAGCTATCCTTCTGCCAAACCACTCTTATGAAAACAGGAAGTCATGTGGTTGGAGGTGAGAAGAGGTCAAGTTTAGATATTTCTTTCTTTACACCTGTCCCCAACCCACCTCCTTGGGAACTGAAACTCCCCCTTCAATGTCACCAATAAGTCAAGTATTAGCATTTTAAAGGATAGTGTCAATTAGTAAGCGTTGATAAACATTGGTTAATATAGCCTTTTGAGGAAGTGCTATAAAACTTATTAAGACTCAATTGTTATAGGCATTCCACATTCATGTAATTAATTAGAATCTGGCCAATTTCTAATGGAAACAGTTTGATTTTATTCTAACAAAATAGAGATGAAGGTGACCTCATAGATGTTGAACATACGGTTACTTACCAAAATGGAAGACAGTTTTGGCTGAACAGATCACATCACATGTTAACAAGGGATGATAGCAGTTCACATGATGATCACAGTCACAGATGGATGATAAAGTATAGGGTAATGATTCATGAAGAAAATATGTATGAGAGAAACAGAGACAAGAAACGATTAGGATCCAAATGATAAACAGACTGACAGCCAGAGGCCCGAGAGAGGATTCTGTGTTTGAGGGCATCAGGAAGATACACACAGGAACTTTTGCTCTTATAGAATATAATTGAAATGATCTTAATCATATGCTTTTACAGCTATTAATACATTTTAGGTCACTTTATTTCTTTCTTCAGTTTATTTCATATAAATATTCAAAATAACTAAGATTGAATATCAACGTTCTTACTGCTGTTTTGCCTTGGGTTCAAATTGCCTGCCTGGGTCTGGGAGGGTAAAGTTTGCAAACAAAAAACTATTTCAATACTATCTTGTCTTATTTTCTAGTATCTGTTTGCTATCTACCTTCCTGAAGACAAAACAGAGAAATACTCCAGAATGTTAACTCTTGTATAACCATTCTCAGAAATGCTGCATTACCAACTGATGGATCCTTTTTATAGCAGGATTTACTAGTTTGATATTAGGTGAATGCCTGTAAAGGGTTTGGCATTTTAAGAGCAATGCCAGGACAAAGACCATAATATCAGTATGTAAAAGGCAGTTTAGACATTGTGGTTACAAGTACAAGGAATGTTCACGCTACTATGTGCTGCAGTGGTCTATGTTAATTAATGCTTACAATATGTAGACAACATAAAACAATAAGAAATAGGAACAGGAGTGGACTTTATGGCCCCTCAGACTTATTCTGGCATATAGGATGATCATGGCTGATCTACAATCGTAACTTCACTCTCTTGTACTATGTCCATATAGTTTGATTTTCTTAGAGACCAAAAATCCACCAATGTTAGCCATACATTTAATCAACAACTGAGCATCCACCACCCATGAGGGTAGAGACTTCCAAAACTTCCTCGAGATTCTACATGAAAACGTTCTGCTCTTCTTAGTGCTATATGGTTAATCTGTCATCCTAAAACTGTCTAGTGTTGTACATTCTCCTGCCTTTCAAACCCAGCAGAGGCTGGAATTTTACCCTCCACCCCCTCTCTGGGATCAGGCTGGCAGCTAGGGGCCATGGTGACAGCAGCGGGGGAGGCAGCAGTGTGCTGTTTATCTCTGGGACGCATAAGAGCTCAATAAAGGGCTTTTCCTGCTGCTGCTGCCATTTTACCTGTAGTAGCCTGTGCCCAGGCAAATTGGTAGACTTCTTGCCAGCTGGCAGAGGAAGGGTGACTCTTGTTCAGGCACCCTGTGCACATAGTCCTCACCATGTACTTTCACACCTTCCCCTGTGCTCTGGGCCTGAACCCCACACACAGTCCTGACCCTCACAAAGACACAGGCAAATATCCCAGTGCGATGGCTGTTACATGGTAAAGGGCAACCCAAACAAATGGAGGTGGGATTGCCCTGACTTTCAAGCCAGAGGAGGGGAATCTGTCTTGATGTAACATTCACCCCAGTGTCTTAGCTGATTCAACAGGATTATGTCTTGTCCTTCTAAACACCACAGAATGTACGCCTATTTTGCTCAATCTCCCTCTTGGGACAATCCATTAACCCAGAAATTAATTGACCAAAACTTTACTGAATAGCTATGAGAAGACTTTTTAAATTAATCCTCAGCATGTGGGCATTATTGACCATTTATTGCCCATCCTGAACTGGCCTTGAGAAGATCATGGTAAACAGCCTTCTTAAACCGTTGCAGTTCATGTGGTATGTGATCAGCATGAACATGTGCTGTTAGGGAGGGACTTCTAGCATTTTGACCTAGGGGTACTGAAAGAATGATGATATATTTCCAAGTCAGGATACTGAGCAGCGCTGGGGAGAAACTTGCAGGTGCTTGTGTGCCCATGTATCTGCTGCCCTTGTCCTTCTAGATGGTTAGAGGTTGCTGGTTTGTAAAATTTTGCCTAAGGAGCCTTGGTAAATTGTTGCAGTGCATCTTGTAGATGCGTTTCAGCTTTGTGGGCCCATCTTTGCATATTTGAGAGGAGGCTTTGATAATCTTTGGCCTACCTAGTGTGGGCCACCTCTATGTAGGTTATTGGTTTGGTGCTTTGCTGGGGACACAAACAAAGCCTGTATCATTCTGTCAGTGTTAAATGATCTAGGCCTTAATTAAAGCTATTGGCTACCAACTATTTGGAATGTTGACGGGCAATTTGTCCCTGGAAAAGTCACCCTGATGTTGGGGATAGCTGTGGGAATATTCCTGATGCAGTTTCCTGCTGCTTACCTGGCACTCCCTCTTTGCTCCAAACCTGTCCCTATTGTGAAGGGAAAATTTAGTCCTCCTCAAAGCTTACTTTTCCACCAAGTAAATTGGGATACAGTGTACTTGATCCCTTCATCTTAGTTAATAATGTTGACGATTCAGCACAGCTTCTTGTGCCACCTCCCTCATAACAACTGTCAACCTGAAAATGACCTACTTAATCCTGCTCCCTTTTTTGTCCTTTAACCAATTCTTTATCCATGTTGAAGCATTACCCCCAAGCCCATGAGTTCTTGCCTAACAACCTTTCATAGCACTCAAAGGACAGCCTTTTGAAACTTTAAATGTACTACATCTGCTGGTTCCCTTTATATCACTTCCTGGTTATATCATCAATAAAATTTCATTTAATCATGTTGATTCTATCTAATTTTCAAAGTGCCCTGTTGTAACCTTCTTAAAAATGGATTACAGAATTTTCTTTCTTCCTTCTTTGATAACAGGGTAAATTTGCTTATTTCCAATCCATTGGGATTATTTTTGAGATAACTTCAGTAGAATATATCCAGTATGTCCAATATTTGTGGGACCATCGCTTTCAGAATGCTAGGAGGTAGGTCATCGGGTCCAAGTTAACTATTTAAACTAATATGATTTACATAAAGTTCTCACTCTTACTAGACTCTTGGCTCCACACTACTTCTGGCATGCTTTTTGCGTCATCTACTGTGGGGACAGATATAAATATTTGTTAAAGTCTTTCCATTTCCTTATTCCTCAGTATATTCTTTCCTGTATTAGCCTCAAAGGAGCCCATATTTCACAATAATCTCAAGCATATGAAAATTCTTTGACTTACCATTCACTAAACCTTCCCCATTCCACAGATCACAGAAGTTGAATTCAATGAAAAATCTGCAACATTCAAAGATACATTATTGTTCCTGAAAAGATGTCATACAAGATAAATTCTTCAGATTACCAAAACAATCAGGTTACTTCAACATTACTCAAACATGAAATTCCATTGTGTTGCAATAAAAATCAAAGTCCTATCAATATATGTTATCACTTTCATAGAAATGGCACAGGACACTTTAGCCCTTTTCCTTTCCCAAACAATGAAAATCTCCCAGAATTTGGTTTCCAAAGAATGTACTTGACAGTTACAAAACTAATCCTTGTACTTTTGACATTATACATTCTGTTTCAGGTCCAAAAGGATGTGTGTGCTACATGTGATGCTTTTCCATAAGCTGTGCTGAAAATTATTTTGAATTGGTTATTAGTGGCAACACTTGGGAGTATATGCTAGAAGAATGCAGAGACAATAGATGGTTAATTCAGTTAGGGTGTAACACTGATTTGATTCTACTGGTGCCAAACTGAATGCTTCAGCTAACACCCTCTCTTAATCTTGTATAGTTGAACATGCATTCAGGAGCAGGAAGAAAATCCTATCAGTGCTATTGAGGAGTTTGTCATGTTCCTAGAGTATTTGGAGGTTTCCATTGCTATTTAAATCCGTTAAAGTCTTCAGAGAGTGTTGTAATGGCAAAGGGTTTGGTTTTGATTTCAAAAGATTTTGCTTAGACCCTTTTTCCCAATCATTAGATGTCACAATTTCATTCATTCTTGGCTTATAACATGACAGAACATGCAGAGGTGGCATTGAAGACCTTTTTGAAGAGAGGAGGAGGAAGAGAGGGCCCTCAGTAGGGAGCAATTCTGCTACCTCATTCTTGGAAAGACTTGCATGGCCTCTTAAAAAGGTACTGAATGAAATAGGCCATTGGTTGCAGGTAACACTTCCTGTCATAACAAGGTCAGGGACAGTGCCAGTGTCAAGACTTTTTCATGTTGGCTCCTTCCAGACTGGGAATGGCAGCAACTCACTATCTTGGAGTTTTTCATCCACTGTTTGAAAAGGGAGATCACTAGCTGTGTTTACGAAGAAGAGGGAAATACATTCCCAACAGTGCTGAGTGCATTCAATTCACATATCACTTTGTGGATGCTATGTCTAAATTCAAAGATGTAGCACGACCAAAAAATGTCCAAATGGCGTGTGCTCATACTGAGCACATCTTGCAAGACAATGTCCGGCATGCTTGCAGCAGTCAGAATCTCTTTATTCTGAACGGGTACACTGTAATATTTAGCATCTGAGTCGCCACAAGAATTTGGATGGTTACTACTGAACAACAAAGGCTATTGGCTACTATCTGTCTCGTCACATTAGTGAACAGTCAGTTGCAGTTGGGCAGTGTGTTTATAGCAAAAGCTAGGCTGCAACAGAAAAAGGAACGACACAATAGAGCACATGGGTAACATGGGTCCACTGTCTGCAGCCATCTGGCGGAATCATTTGAAATATGATCTGTATTGTGGTGGTCCACTGCATGTTGTACAACCTCAATATCTTAAGGACACTGGTCTTATTATGCTGAGGACGGAGAAGGAAAGATCTCCTTCTTGGGATGTTTCTGAAACAAAAGTTGACATAAATGCCACCACAAAGCAAACACTCCAAACCAACAATATTTCTCAAACCATTCAATATTCCGTACAAAATTCGAGTGATTATCCTGATGATTTTCCTTAGTACTTCCTTCTGTGTGCTTTAAATCTTCTAGTGCTCTATAGCGGTGCTATCCCAGGAGCTGTAGCATAACTAACAGTTGGGGAGAAAGGAGATGGCGTTGCAGGATGGCTTCATGAAATTCTGGTCCAAGCTGGCCTGACTTACCAATAGAACGCATTGCGATGGGCGGGCTGGTCAACAGGCAGGAGCACTGACAGAGTGGCACCAGTAGGAGGGGCAGCAAGCTTGTGCTCTATAACGCTACAGGCAGTCTCCTGGATGGGTGCGTCAATAATCTTTGTAATATGTTAGAAGACAGATTGATGGACTGCTACAAACCTCTGAATACCTGCAGCATTACAAAGATTGCAGAGATTCCCATCCAGGGAAGCAGCAATAGCATCATGGAACACAAACTAGCTTTCCTCTCTCAGGATGAGAGTAGACTGAAGTTACATACTGACAAAGGGCTTTACCAGATAGACACTGGGTTTAGATCCACAGTCATATTTTGACTGGATATCCTCTTTCAAGAGAAGGACGTCATAATTAAAAGTTAAATATCTCAATAAATAATGCAAGGTTATAATCTATTGATATGACACACTATGTCTAGGTCCTTGAGACTCCACTTTGGCAATAATCACACTGGATATCTGGTCTCAATTCATTCACAATGCCTATCTGGTTCTCCTTGGATAGATGTCACTTTTCCTCTGCCCACTTCTTGCACTGATATTTCCAGTGTTGAAGAACCTTGGGTACAGTTCTCTGTGATATTGTGCCATTCTTGTATTTTCCTTGGGTTAAATTAATTTTTACAATGATTTCTAGCACATTCTCCTGACAAAATGCATCTCCTTTTCAGAGACATATACTAACATGATTTTATGCTGGCTTCTCAAAACTTTGCACCCTGCACAGGCATGAAGCCATTGAATTAAGTGTTAGATGCACATAATGTAAACAAGCAGGCAGTAGGCACTTTGTATGCTGTCTGTGTCAGAAGGAATGATTGTGAGTCCATCCCCACATCATATTTAGGTCCTCATGAATTTTATTTCTTAAACCAGCTAACTGATTTTTTTCTGAGGTCTATGGAAATTAGTGGATTGTGATACCTTGGTAACTGGAAAGGATTCCATCTCAGTTATCAGATTACACCACAATGCGCAACAACAACAATGCATCTGTTCAAAACACAGTTAGTTTCTTTTTCAGTCACATCTTCAAACCCTAATAAAAACTGATTTGGCATCAATAAAAACTATTTCAACATGGTACTTGAATTTGCAGGATTCACCAATATTTCAGCAGATGATTTCTAGACATTAAAAGCAGATATTTTATAGCAGACAACATTCGCTCAAATCAGCACAACACACACCAGTTTGCTTGTCTAAAGCTTTACCATCTACAAAGCCCACAGACATTAAAACCTAAATTTACAGATTACATCAAAAATGTTGATTGCTAGATTGAAATATGAAAAATTATCGATATTTCCTGTTGCCAAAAAAGGTGATATGTTTGAGTTTGACATCAGTGTTGTGCTCCTGAATTTTATCTCTGGTGGTATTTGCAAATCTTAGATGATATTTAGCAGGCACTGAAACCTGCTTTTGGGACTGACAAGGTTGGCCCAGGAAGTAAATTCAAAGTGCAAGTGTTAAAGTGTTGTGTATGCTGAAGGGGGCAGCTGCGCCCTGAGAAAACCTAAAGAGAAAAGCATGAATCTGGTTGAACATTTTTGGAAGCTGTATTATGAATGTTCAATTTCACAAGCAGCAAGGAAATATTCTAGAGTGCTTCTAAAAATGTATTTATGCCAAGTGTTGTTTTGCAGATGGCAGTGCCAAGAAGAAAGGGGTTGGAAAGCACAGCAAGTGACTCAGGTTGGGCATCCTACTTTGATGATGTGTCATTGATCACTGATCACAGGAAGGGAGGTTAAAAGATTACTTCCCTATTACAGAACTGAACTGCTTTAGTGATGATCTACATATATACAGATATTTTATGAATAAGGTATATTTTTGAAATAAAAAAAGTCAGTATCATTGAGAAAAGTGGGTGAGGTGAGGACCCTGTGATGGGCAGTCAACATCTCGGAGAGGGGAATAGAGGAGGGTGAGGTGAGGACCCTGGGATAGGCAGTCAGCATCTCTGAGAGGAGAGGGCAACAGTTCAGCCACACCACAGGGATACAGGCAGCCCCCAGTGACAAGACTGCAGATGAGTGGAAATAGGCTCTATAGGTAATTCTATAAACTCTCAAAATGGGTTTTAAAGTTGCCACTAGTAACATGTGTAGTGTTAACTCTACTACGTGATGAGTTTCCATTCTGGCTTACCTTGCCAACGTCAAAGTAGACCTCCTGTTTCTAAAACTGGAAATGGTTGCACTAATGGGCCCAATTTGCATCGGGGGATAATGATTGCCATTCCTCCAGCCTGGGTATTCTGCTGCGAGGAGACAACTTCACCATCTGCGGAGTTAAGGAAGTGGTAAGTGGGCACCTCCTTGTAGCAGACATTATGTACAGGAATGCTCCCCTGAGACTAATTAATGTGTATGCCCTGTTGGTAAAGAGCGAGTAGCTGGCCATCCTCCCTCTGCTGCTGGCTACATCCAGGCCAGCCATTCCAGGCCAGACTTCAACTGCCTCATCGATGCAGGTGGATAATCCGGAGGGGCTGACAGCAAACCAGATGCCACATCCAGATTTCTGATGGAAATGGTTAAAGTCACCAAGCTGCACGACGTTGTCAGCACCCTGCAGACAGAGTGCAGCATGGATACCGCCAGACAGGTCTATCCACTCAAGGATAGATTTCCTGTTTGAGTCCCGCATGTTCTCAGTCAGGTCCACTGATGTCAAGTCAGTATTTTTCTGACCACTGCTTCCTGCTGGCTGACTGTCACCTGCAGGTATGTGGAAGCTGAACCTGAAACTGTCGATCCAGAAAACATTGAAGAGCTCAATAGGGATTACACAGGTTGGAGGACTGTGAAGCCCCTCTTTGCTTCTCCAGCAGACTAGTAGGCAATCATGGGGAACATCAAGAGGTTGTTTATCCTCAAAGGTGTTCAGAAGGTGTGCGTGCATGCGTGCGTGCGTGTGTGTGTGTCTGTAAGAGAGAGAGATGGGGAAAACTGCCCAAACTCCAGAAAACCATGCAGGACCTACTCCTGCTGCAGACGATGGGGGTTGATTTCATAGATGATCTCCAGCAGGTGAAGAGCCAGCAAGCCTCACTCTCCGCCTCGGAGGCCTCCAAGATAATCTTCCGGTCTAGGGTCCGCACCATGGTTGAGAGGTGCTCACGT